TAGATTGAATAATTCTTTCTACTTCTGTTCAGCAAACACGAGGTTTCACTTTATTTCTTTATTTATTTACGTACAAGCTGACGTTTCGGGGATTTCGCCTTAGAGCCTCAAAAGGTCAAGTTGACAGCAATCTTTTCGGCAAAACACCTCCATAACAAACAAAGAAAATGCTATACCAAGATTTCAATCACATTCAACACAGCTCTGCACACTCGCCGCTTTCTATGAGTCTTCCACGGAGTGTGTAGCGTGAAGACCAACCGCACAAAATTCACATGGAAGCGTGATATGCCTCTCCCATCAGAATAACAGGTTTATGTACTGTCCAATATCACGCGTGATAATGAGGCATTCTTCCCTACGGTTTATTTTCGGATTTCTGGAACTAATCCAGAACGCCTCGAGGACCCAGAGAGATAACGGGGAGGACTTTGAAGTACGTGTCACTATCCTCGCACAGGAATCGAGAACACAAGCGCGTAATTCTCGAGGCGTTAGGATTAATTCCAGAAATCCGAAAATGAGATGACAAACACGTTACGCTGAGGAGCACATTACGCTTCCATGTGAATTCTGTGCGGTTGATCTTCACGCGAGATACTCAGAGGAAGACTCATAGAAAGCGGTGAGTGTGCAGAGCTGTGTTCAATGTGATTGAAATCTTGGTTAAGCGTTTTCTCCGTTTGGTTATGGAGGTGTTTGGCTGAATAGGTTGCTGTCAACTTGACCTTTCCAGGCTCTGAGGAAGGCGAAATCCGCCGAAAGGTCAGCTTGCACGTAGATAAAGAAATAAAATAAAACCTCGTGTTTGCTGAACAGAAGTAGAAAGAATTATTCAATCAGTGCCGAGGTTAATAAAAAGTCGGACGTGGGAACAAATAGAAATCTAAAATCGACCAAGCGGTGGCATGGATTAGTATGCTTTCACACATGTCTTCAAGTATATTTAACCAAGAGTTAGCATGAAGTGTTGCTTCTTTTCGAATAATCAGCGTCGGACTAGATTTTGCAGTGTTGATTTTTGCCGCTTACGATGCAGAGGCTTTTGCGTGCGATGGTATCGCGATGACCCAAGAAGCTGCGGTGAATGAATTCGCTTTTGTATCACGTAAATGATGACGTCCTTCGCTAGTAGTAGCGACTTTAGCCTGGCAAAGAGTGGTTCTAATTCTCCTCAGAAGAGCCACTATAAAGACGTTATTTCTTGTTCTAGAAAACCCCTTCTTTCCCACTGACGGGCAGAATCCCAGCAACAGATGAAACATTCTTTTGAACGAAAGGCAAAGTGGACCTCGTTTTGATAAACTTGTTTTGTTCACCCTTTCACCATTGAATGCTACAACATAGTTTTTCCTATTTGGTGTAGATGTGGAACTGTTGGACGACTAAAGTTTAGTTCCTACATGATCTGTCAAGTTGCTTTACGTGCGCTCGTTGTAATGAACGATGGATGGTTGGCATCGATAACTGAGCGTTCTCCACCTTCGCGTTTTCTGGAGCGATCTTTCCCTTCCGGTGTTCCAGTGTAACACTTGCGTCATATCTAGTGAAATCACCCAAATGTTCCTTCGTCTATACTATGACGTCATGAAATGAACAAAAATAAGCCGCTGGAATAAACCGAACGAGGAAAATATCTACGTGATTTTACTCAACGAATAGCCCATCCCCAGAAAGAATTTGCGATCCGGAGAACAATTTCTGGTTAACTGGTGCACTGCTTGGTGACCAAGACTTTCCTTCTATGAAGACACAAGACAACTGCTCCGATGCTTCACAGATGGTTTTCGGTTTACCTGGAACGGAAGCAGATAGGCCATTTTGGCACAAGGTTGCTATCACGGCGGCGGTGATCTCCTTTATGCCTAGAGAAGCGACGACCCAGAAGTATTCATTGAAATTGGATTGCCATACTGTCCAACCATTTTGGAAGGGGTCGCTACTTGGGAAGAGAACATATTTGCACGAGCAGTCGAGTTAAACTTGGCTACAAAAATTGACACTACAGACATAAAACGAAGTGATCGCGGTGAGATTCTCACCGTTAGAACAGCTTGCTAACATTTCGTGCTTAATCTGAGCATAAAAACTATGGGAATAATATGTCATTGCCCTTTCTAATGTGATTTTGTTCACACAGATTCGAGCACACCACAAACTAACTGAAGCTTTGCGCACCTTGTAATGATGTGGCGAATTTCCGCTGCTTTTACCGGACGCTCTGGCAGTCCCACATTAGCTTCCGCAAGTGAATCGGCTATCACCAAGAAGGAAATAACTGCTAGTGTGACTAGAAATTTGTTCATTACCTGAAAAAATATGAGATGCTTTGCTCACTTTTCGTTGAGGAATAGTTTCACGACCTTATAAAACACTATCTGGAAGAAGGATATGACGCTCGACGAGTCCCTAGAGCGAGCAGAACCCACTGGGCTACTCTTGCACGCGACAAGGAAAAATGGAAGATTTGCTGGCACCCGCTCGAGTCACTCGACGATCAACGGGGCTACAGGTGATACAGGTAATAAAACACTATATAATGGGCAACAGTGCATATTTCAAATACAACGTAACGCATGTATTCTTTCATTTATAAGCTAACACAAGGTTGATAAAAATCTTCATTCGGCAACATTTCGTCGCATTCATCTTAAGGAACGGATTCATCCGAGTCATCGACAGTTGTTCCACTTCCCGATGTAGGACTTTGTCTTTGAATCGAGTTGAATCCACTGGGACACCGCTGGAATGAAGTAGTCTAACTCGGCAGTGCTCGTTTAAATAGGATGGTTGTCGATACTTTTGTAACCGTTCGTTTTTCTCTGGACAATCCATCTTGCGGCAGTCGGTCTCATTATCAACAAGAACAGGATGCAACAATATTTCCAAAATCGATTTTTCTTCAGCCTTGGCAAAAATAATGATGAGTACTCTTTCACTGATGAGCTAATACGAAGTTTATGAAAATATGCTTTATTTGGCTGCATTTTTTACTTGCCTTGTATTAGTTTGCAAATATAGGAATGCTTACTCATTAGTCATACTGAGGTTAATGGATTGTCGGATTTTAAAACAATGTGATGTGGTTCTAAACACCCACAGCAGTTTCCACAGGTATCATCGATTCAGGTAATTGTAAAGCGACTCAAGCAGGTTTTGATATGGTTTTTTTTGACGTCTGTATCGGACTAGAGTTGTGCCAGTAGTTAGCGATGACCACGAGAACACGGCGAGCACCACACTATTTCTACCAACTTTTCAAAGCAATCTGGTCATAATTTCGATTTGTTTTCTGTCATTCTTCGTGCAAAAGCTGAAACTCTTCAGTACACTACTTCTTTCACAGCGGTTTTTATCCTATTTAAATCGATGGCTTTTTAAGTCGACGCAGATGCGACAGATGACGATTACTTGGTGCATGCCGAGGTTAACAGAAAGTCGGTCATGGGAATGACGAATGAGACTTTTGCCCTTTCATGAAAAATCCGTTACTAAACTTTTTCCAAATGCTTGCTTGCCCATGTGGCTGCCTTTTATCCAGCCCTTTCCAGAAATTTTCTCCATCTCTCGGAAGAAAGGGCTCGCAAGTTAACACAAGAAACATATAAATGATCAGTTTTGCAGGCCCAGTTGAGGAACTGTTTCACTATCGAAGGGCTTCCATGACTGCTTCTATCTCAATTGTATCAAAGGCCTTCTGTAAATCGATGAAAGTCAGACAGAGTGGTCTTTTCCACTCTCGCGATACTTCAATGACCCTTGTTACTGCGTGGATGTGCTCCAGCGTCCAAAATCCTTTTCGAAACCCTGCCTGCTCGCGCGTGGCTGTCCTTCGTCCAGTGTTCTGTCAGTCCTGTTTAGAACGACTCGAGTGGATAGTTTGTAGACGACAGACAGTAACCAGATTGGGCGATAGTTGCCGATATCGTGTAGGTCACCCTTCTTGAACAATAACACGGTCTTGCTATTCTTCCACTGAGTAGGGACCTTGCGTTCAGACACGAAACGTGTGAAGAGCCGAGCCAGTGTGGTTACGAGGGACTGGTGGAAGAATCTTCAAGTAATCTGGTCTTATCCTGCCCGGACTTGGTGCTGTTCGATTTTTCACCGACGAAATGGCATGTCGGATTTTGGAAGGGAGAACCGGTGGTACAACATATCCATTCTACTTTTTCATATGGCGGAAGGTGGATGTGGCTACCGAAGAGGTCCAAGTGGTATTCCTGAATGATTTTCTCTATTGCCTTCCTGTGACTGTAACTGTTCCGTCTGGGCGTCAGAGTGCAATCGTCTTGATCCTGTAATTGGCGAGGGGTCGGTGGGCTTCGCGAATGCTTTTCCCAGTCTCTGCAGCTTCGACCGTTACTGCTACTCTTCTCTCTTTAAGATCTTCTTTTATCGCCTGTCTGCATTGTTTTGCAAGTTTGGGGGTTAGTTCGCGGCTGCCTGCTGTTCGTGAGATTCCACGTTGGCGTATCAGCTCGAGTGTTTCTGGAGAGAAACGTCTCTTGGTGACTTTCGAACTTCCAGCTTTCATAGCGCTAGCGTGAAGATGTTGAATGAGCCGATCGTATTCTTCGTCGGTATTATCGGCAATGGCATTACCCCAACAGCTGGGTAATGAATTGAATAAGTTCCAGTTTACGGCGGTTCTGGAACTTCGGTTTTTGAATTTAGCGGCTTTTTCTCCTTTCCGCGAGAAATAGAGTCTTGCACGAAGGAGACGGTTGTCTGATCACATGTAGAATTTTGAGACAACGGCGACGATGGTTAGACGAAATCTTCTATTTACTATGACGTAGCCTATTTCGTTATGGTACTTCCCATTGGGAGACTCCCTTTTGTTCCATTCTAATCCGTGGGTCCCAATGTGACGTTTTTCAGACGTTCTTCTTTGTCCAATTTTGGCTTTGAAATCTCCAATGATGACCTTGAAGAATGTGTGGTCTTCTCTGTAGAACTTCTCCAAGTCCATATAAAACGCTTTAGCTTCTTCTTCGTCATGGTTTGATGTCGGCGCGTAAGCAACGAAGATTGTGAAAGCCGGAATTGATCCATGTCTTTAATCGTAAACATTCGATTGGGGTTGTAAGCTGTTCGAATGAATCGATGTTCATGGACAAACTCGTGTTGACGAGAGCGCCGACGCCGCCGACTCCTCTACTGTCGCATGTTCCGAGGAACAGTTCTTCTCCGGTGTCATAGACGGCGCTGAAAGGCTGATGTCTTCTCGTCTCGGCCAGGCCGATGACGTCGGACTTTATCCTTTTTGCTTGTATGAGCAAGTCTATCGAGAACTCGGATGCAAGTGTACGTGCATTATAGGTACAGATCGTCACCATAGTTCTTCGTAATCCAGGAAGCTTCCATTGGCTTTGAGATTTTAGCAGCCTCTCCGTACTTGTCGTACGCAACGCTGCCAAATTCGGGCTCTGTCGTGGTCAGCGTATTGAGGCGCGTATTTTTTTTTTACTGTGTTTAGCATTTTGAGACCCACGTATAGCTTCCTGGGCTCTCAAGGTGGGAGGTGGGTATACTCGCGGATACTTACCAGGCTCTCCCAGAGTGAACGTGGAGCTTATTTGTTGGAGGCGACTCCTAACCGCCTCCCATATATTTCCCTGTCACTTGTTTGCAGGCTTTTAGCCGAATTGTCTCGTAGAATATAATCCGCATAAACATGAACTTGTCCACACACGTGTACGTGAATAGGCCTCGTAAATACAGAAAGTAAATGCTAAATCGGAGCAGCAGAAACGGGGAGTCTATTCCCTGGATCCACCTACGTCTCAGGGAGATACACTACGTATTACCCGCCAGTTGGGTACGCGCCACGTAGCCTCGCGACTAACCGGCTCGAGATCGCTAAGATGAGGAACCTCGGTGGGCAAATTCCGATATACATTCCTTATGCGTGTAAACAAAGCAGAAAATACCTGAGTGTTGTGTGCTTATCTCTTCCTACATGGATTGGATTCCGCGTGTTAATTCAGCTTTTGTATTCGAAAAATCGGAATGTCTATAGGTAGGGGTTATGTGTCATCTCAAAGAAATAACCTCAGATTCCTGTCTTGGAAACCCACAACCTACCCGGTCAATACAACGAACGCTTACACCGGATGCTGTGGTTATTGAGTGCTAAAAAAGTAGGAACAAAGAGCCTTATTTCCTAAACAGCGAATTCGTCCTCGATGCGTCAACATTCGGTACGCAGGGCGCGGAGATATACACCGGATGAGGACTGTTCGATAGAATATGTAATATTAAACCAATTTTGCGGCGTTAGTGCAGTTATCATTACGCATGTGAGGATAAACATCAAGGTTTGTGGTGAGTTTGACCATCTGAATCCTAGGAATAAAGTAGGGAAATTGTGAACCAAAGCCGAGTTTGATAATCCTTGTCGTCTACGCACTGAAGTCAAACTGCGACCAAAACAAGTTAAGCTATTTTATGTGGAATTAAAAAAGTTTACAACCATAAAGGTCTTCAAAGCAAATGTATACACAAAAAACATATACATATATGTGTATATATAAGAGGGCGCGTGTGGCGCAGTGGTTGGAGGCGCCACTGCGCCACACGCGGAATCAATCCACTCGCCCGCGGCCCACCAAGCCTTCCATTCTCCAGGGTCGGCAAATTGGCACTAAACTTGTCTGGGAGGGTAGCAACACTGGCTCGATACATCGGTAGGCCACCGCGAGTCATTATGAAGGCCCGATATGCATCCAGTCACCTCCAACGGAACTTAGTGAAGTCGAATGCATGGGGCGTCCATCATGGATTAATCGACGCTGAGAGCATTATCCTTTTGTTATATAGGTATATATAAACATACCAATTTGTTTTGTTGTTATGTACATAAATACACTTGTAAATAACATATGTGCTCGTAATATAAGTGATATACTGCTTGCGGGTTCCGGTGCGCGTGAGAGCAGGAATACTTTTGGTCTTTGGTGCTCACGAACAATTTTTGTTAAATGCAGCTTTCAGGCAAGTGTGGCCTTAACGAGATGGGACTCAAGAACGTATGAAGCATTCTTTAAAAAAACTTTGTAACATGGGTAATAAACCTATAGCGAATTTCGCCGGCTTGCGAAACTATTGATTGCTCCACCTTCCGCGATCCTAACGATGAATCCTGGTTATCGTAGAGAATCATTCGAGAAATAATAATGCCCATAGGACGACAGCACAAAGCTCCTATAAGTCACTCAAAGTCTCAACTCTTAAACTGTCTATTAATCGAAAAATTCTGTAGAGCTATCAGAGAATGCGCATCACAAACAGTGTGCAACATCATTTTTAATATGCATTTCGTTGTTTTCTAACTTTCAGTAGCTGTGATGACTTTCCTCCTAACGGTTTACTGCCTGATTGTGGCTGGGAGGTGTTGTTGGGTGTCGAACTCCGATGTACAGCGAGGGGATTCGTCCCTCGGCAGGGTCTGGAAAGCTGAGAAGGAGTCTGGAGTTTCCATCAGGAAACCCAGCTAAGAGTAAACCAATACCAGGATCTGCCACCATCCTGCTATCAAAGTCGCATGGTGGAAAATCTCCTACTGATCCACAAGGGCTGCGACTCCCTGTGGTGGTGAGGACCTGAGGCAGATTTTGGTCAGACCGACCTCGGGTTTCCAGGCAACCACAATGGCTTAGCCAGCAAATCTCCGAAGAATGGTGCTCGTGCTAGAGCCCGCACAACCAGTGAGGGCGGGCCCTTGAAGTATCAAGTAGGAATCAAGTATGATGACAGAGATCAATTTGGAAAAAGTATATCAAAGTTACAGGACAAACTTCGCGCTTTTTCTTGCAGTACTTACACAACTTCGTTAAATGCTAACAGCAGTATGACTGCACGGAGGAAAGGTTTTTTTTTTATCACACGCAAGAACTGTATAAGACTGAAATCATGAAAGGGTGTAGAAGAACATGGAGCATAAACAAGACAAGGTAATTGCAACATTTTTTCTAAAACAATAGGAAAACCGATCTGTAGAACAAAATTTACAACCAGAGAAAGCTGAGCTATACATGAGCTGCCAGAGTAGGCAGTGTGGCACCTATAGGCTTTATTCGGCTAACGCTTCGACGAGGTCTTCTTCATGAGAGCCCGACTGGTTGGATCCGGCAGCCAATAGCCGTTCGTCTTCGCAATGTGATATTTTAGGCGTCGCATAGAGTTGAAACCGATAAAGCGGACCAGCCCTATCGAAAAAATTATTCATCTAGAATTGGTGTCATTGTCAGCAATAGTTTAACCCATAATATCCACTCCGTTAAATTAATACCAACTCGAGCTTTTTCGCTTCTGATAGAGACGGAACACAATGCATTGAACGTCCTGATTGAAATCGTTTGAAATTCAGGTGATTTTACAGCGAAGATAAGCTCATAGCTATTTGTTACAGTTTAGCTCTCTTAGGAAACTCTTACAACTGTGACATCAGTAAGCCGCTGGCCAGCGAAAGCTGAAAAATAAGTAGAGCGCATAAAATGGACGATTAAATATTTAAAATGTAATAGCTTTGTTACAGTCTTGTAGACGCAGTAGTAAGGATTCTCTGCTGGCGCTGACAACGTTTTAGTGACAGTGATGAACAAAAGTACGGAGAACATAAAAAACTGCATTTTATCAACTGAAACCCGTCCAAGATAATTCAAATTAGATTCCAACGACAAATAGAAGAAGTTTCGTTTTCCCGGGGGACCCGATCCTTCAGAATCGGACCTTCCACCTACTTCGCCGTCGTTTCATTGGACCGTCTGCCGTCTGTCGTCTGTCGTGATCTGGATCGATCGATAGGTAGCACAACGCGTCAGACTGCGAGTAGTTTGCTAGACTTGTTTGAGCGCGCTCAGCACAGAAATTTGGCGCCAATCTGGTTTAAATCAGCAGATTGGCATCGGTCGTCACTTCTCAGTTACTTCGACCAATGTCGTTAAGCTTTTCAGTTTTTATTTTTGTATTTTTCTTGTATCCTCCCTCTATATGAATTCACAGTAAGCGGCAGTCAGTGAAGTGTTCCCACAACTAGGCAGTACTTCTACGCAAAAAGATCCGTATCGCAGATGTGTCGATCTTTCTTTTCATTTCATTTGTTCGCATTACTGTACTCTCCATGAAAATATTGGTCTACGATGTCTTCGACCGTTGAGAATGTGATTATCTAGAAAGGTTGGTCGCACTCTCCGCTTTCAAACAAACATGGGTGGAACGAAAACTAAGAAACTTCAGCAGAAGAGTGAGGATTTCCTCTACAGATACTGAAGAGTTATAAAACATGTGAAGGAGCAAACTCTATGTTTTAGGAAATAAAAGGACTCTACGGAATAAGATCGAGCAGTCAAAAATAAGTCGGAAAGCCAGAGCACCTGCGAAGAAAGAAATGAAGCAAGGGAGCGAGGCAGTACTGCCAATCATGATCCAAGTCTCTACAAAGAAGGAAGCGATTCCGGTATTTTCACAGTATAGATACAAAGTGTTGTAACTCAAACGTCCGACTTTCTATTAACCTTGGCATTGATTTAATAATTCTTTCTATTTCTGTTTAGCAAACATGAGGTGTTATTCTGTTTCTTTATTTACGTACAAGCTCATGTTTCGGCGGATTTTACCCAGAGAAAGTTTTCTCTCTTTCTTTCTCTGTTTGGTTATGGAGGCGTTTGGCTGTGTAGATTGCAGTCAACTTGACCTTTCCAGGCTTTGAGGTAGGTGAAATCCGCCGAAACGTCAGCTTGTACGTAGACAAAGTATTGTGTATCGACTAGTTTTTATATGTAGATTTTAACCATCTTCCAAACGGCGTTGTTCCGAGTTCGGCATGTGTGATTGAACACCTGTAACCGTGCCATTCCAGCAGTTAAAGCAGTAACAACGGAAAGCTGTCATTCATGAAGAAAAACATGTTTTATGACTGTGTTCGGTGCTTGGACACTTTTATCTTCTTCGTTCATTTTGCTTTTCAATAGGCTCACTATGGTTTCGACATCTTGGATAATTTGATTTTTCCACGAATTAATATACAAATATTGCTCAATTCCCTTTAGCCATCATACTGATTTCCTTCATGGAAATTTCTTTGCGAAGAAAATGTTTCAACTTCAATGATGCTGAGATATTTTCAAAACTCCGGAGCGCGGGTATTCGCGATGGAGAGCGAACGCGCTATTGTCCTTTCTGGAGAGTTACGCGTTCATCACCACACCATGCGGGTTCTTCGTTTCGCCTCTCTCTCAGCTAGTTCTATTGATCTCTATTTCATCACTATTCATAGCGAGAGGCCATCATAGAGGCAGAGATCGATAGAACTAGCTGAGAGACAGGCGAAACGAAT